CAACAACAGAAGGAAAACTGGAAAACTCACAAATACCTGAAAATTAAGCAATGCACTCTTAAACAACAGGTCAGAGAAGAAATCACAAGGGAAATTAGAAAACCTCTTGAGACAAATGAAAATGAAAACAATGTTCTTGTGTTAGGCCATTCTTTGCTATAAAATAATACTCAAGACTGGGTAATTTATAACGAAAATAAGTTTTCTTCGTTCACAATTCTGCAGGCTCTACAAGCACAGTGCTGGCATATTCTCAGCTTCTGAGGAGACCTCAGGGAGCTTTTGCTCATGGCAGAAGGTGAAATGAGAAGAGCAAAGGAAGGCTAGAGAAGGAGAATGAGAGGGAGGAGGTGCCACACATTTTTAAACAGCCAGTTCGCATGAGAACTCACTATTCCAAAGACAGCACCAAGGGAATGGTGCTAAACCATTCATGAGAAATCTGCCCCATGATCCAATCACCTTCCATTTTACCTTCTGCCATGAGCAAAAGCTCCCTGAGTCCTCCCCAGGAGCTGAGCAGATGCCAGCACCATGCATGTACAGCCTATAGAACCGTAAGCCAATTAAACCTCTTTTCTTTATAAATTACCGAGTCTCTGATATCTCTCTCTCTCTCTCTCTCTTTTTCTCTCTCTCTCTCCTCTTTCTCTCTCTCTCGTCACCCAGCCTCCAGTGCAGTGGTGCAGTCTCAGCTCACTGCAGTCTCTGTTTCCCTAGTCAAGTGATTCTCCAGCTTCAAATTCCTATGTAACTGTTACTACAGGCATGAGCTACCACGCCTAGGTAATTTTTGTACTTTTTGTGGAAATGGGGTTTTACCATGTTGCTCCGGTTGTCTGGTATTTCTTTATAGTGACGCAAGAACAGCCTAATACAATGTCCCACCTCCAAGCAGTGAACACAGTACTAACAGAGAAGTTTATGGCTATGTGTTTACATTAAAAAAAAAAGGATGATCAAAAATTAACAACCTAACTTCGCACCTTAAGAAATTAAAAAAAGAAAAAACTAAACCCAAGGTTAACAGAAGAAAGAAGATAATACAGTTTAGAGCAGAGATCAGTGAAATAAAGAAAACAAAAGCAATTGAAAAAAAAAATCAGCAAAACTTGAGGTGGTTTTTTCCAAAATATCTAAAAAACCGACCAATTATTAGGTATAGTAATTAAAAAGAGAGAAGACTCACATAACAAAAATTAGAAGTGAAAGAGGGGATATTACAGCCAATACCACATACAATAAAGAGGATTGTAAGAGAATACTACAAACAGTTGTATGCCAACAAACTGGAAAAATTATATAAATGGACAAAATATTTTAAACACACAACCAACCAAGATTGGATAATGAAGAATTAGATAATCTGGACAGATTTAAAACTATTAAAGAGATTGAATCAGTAACCAATATCCCACACAAAGAAAAACCCAAGACTTCATGCCTTCTTTAGAATATTCCAGCTAATATTTAAAGAATAATTAACACCCATTCTCCTCAAACTCTTCCAAAAAAATTAAAAGAAGGGAAAATCCCAAATTCATTATATAAGGCCAGCATTACCCTAATAACAAAGCCAGATGAAGTCAAAGAAAACTACAGACCAACATTCTTGATAAATATTGGTGTAAAAGTCCTTAACAAAACACTAGACAACCAAATTCTTAGGCACAGTAAAAAGATCATATACCATAATTGAGTAAAATGCATTGCTGTAAAGGATGGTTCAACGTAAGAAAATCATGCTAATCACATTAACAGAATGAAAGATGAGAACATAATCATCTCAACTGATACATACAAAAAAGTGTTTGACAAAATTTGATGTCGTTTCATGCTAAAAATGCTCAAACTAGGATGTAAGGAAACCGTTAATACCTCAACATAATAAAGGCAATACATGAAAAGAGCATAGCTAACATCAATCTCAGTGGTGAAAAACTTAAAGCCCTTCCTCTAAAATCAAGAACAAGACAAAGATGCCTGCTTTCACCCCTTCTATTTAACATAGTACTGGAATGTCCTAGCCAAAGCAATTACGAAAGTGAAATAAAAGGCACCAAAATCAGAAAGGAAGTAAAATTGTCTCTGCTTATAGTTGACTTAATCTCCTATGCAGAAAGCCCTAAAGATCCCATTTTAAAACTTCAGAATAATTGAATTCAGCAAAGTTGCAAGATACAAGTCAACATGCAAAAATCCATTGCATTTCTATACACTAACAATGAGCAATCTGCAAAGGATGGTAAGAAAACAATTTCATTTACAATAGCATCAAAAAGAATAAAATATTTTGGAATAAGCCTAAAAAAGTAGGTAAAAGACTAACATACTTAAAACTAGAAACACTGCTTATAGGCATTAAAGACACAAACAAATTGTAAGACCTCCCATGTTCATGGACTGGAAGACTTCATGTTGTTAAAATGTTAATATTGCCCAAGGTAATCTACCAATTTGGTGCAATCCCTATCAAAATCCCAAAGGCATCTTTGGAAATATAGAAAAATCCATTTACAAGTTCATATGAAATCTCAAGGGATGCTGAATAACCAGAACAATATTGAAAAAGGAAAAAGTTATAGGTCTGACACGTTCTGATTTCAAAACATATTACAAGGCTACAGTAATCTAAACATTTAGTACTAGCATAAATGCAGACATAAAGACCAACAGGAATGAACAGAATTGAGACCCCAGATATAAACCCTTAACTGTATGGTAAAACAATTTTTGACAGATGTCAAGACTACTCAATGGAAAAAGAACTATCTCTGCAACAAATGTTGCTGGGAAACTGGATATCCCCATGAAAAAGAACGAGTTGGACCTTATGTTACACCATAAACAAAAATTAACTCAAAATGAATTAAAGACCTAAACATAAGAAACAAACATATAAAACTTCTAGAAGAAAACATAAAAGCTTCATGAAATTGGATATGATGATTTATTGTGTATGACACCAAAAGGACAGGCAACAAAAGCAAAATGGGCAAATGGGAATACAAATGGGGCTTAATCCAACTTAAAAATTTTTCTGCATTAAAGGACACATTGAAGTACCAATAAAGTGAAAAGACAGGCTATGGAATCAGAGAAAATATTTACAAATCATATAGCTGATAATATCTAGACTACATACAGAGCTCCTACAACTTGAGAACAAAAACAACCTAATTAAAAATGGGTAAGGGGGCTGGGTGCTATGGCTCAGGCCTGTAATCCCAGCACTTTGGGAAGCAGTATTACGGGCAAGAGCCACCACAGGAAATGGGAAGATTGCTTGAGCCCAGGAGTTCAAGACCAGCCTGGGCAACCTAGTGAAAGCCCCTCTATACAATAATGTTTTTCTCAATGAGTCATTCATTGTGGCATGCACCTGTAGTCCCAGCTACTTAGAGGGTTGAGGTGGGAGGATCACCTGAGCCCAAGAGGTCAAGGCTGTAGTGAGCCATGATTGTGCTACTGTACTCCAGCCTGGGCAACAGAATGAGACTCTGTCTCAAAGGAAAAAAGGACAAAGGACTTGAATCCACATTTCTTCAAGGAAGGCATACAGATGACCAACAAGCATATGAAATGATAAGCTCAGTATCACTTATCATTAGAGAAATGCAAATCAAAACCATAAGGTAGCACTTCACATCCATTAGGATAACTCATTTAAAAAATAAAATAAAAAAAATAAAAAAAAATAAGTTTTGTCAAGGATTTGGAGAAATTAGAATCTTTGAGCATTGTTGGTAGGATTGTAAAACGGTGAACCACAATGAATTAGTATAATGTTTCCTCAAAAATTTAAAAATAGATCCACTGTATGATATGGCAATCCCCCTTCTGAGTATATGTTCAAAAGCACTGATAGCAGGGTCTCAGAGATATTAGCACATCCATGTTCATAGCAGCATTATTCACAATAGCCAGGAGGTGGAAGCCACCCAAATGTCAATAGAGAGAGAATGGAAAAACAAAGCATGGTATATACATAAAATGGCTTACTATTCAGTCTTAAAAAGGAAGAAATCTTGTCATATACTACAACACAGATAAACCTTGAGGACATTATGCTAAGTGAAATAAGCCAGTAACAAAACACAAATACTGTATGATAACACTTATACAAGATTTAAAGTTATCAAATTCATATAAACAGAAAATAAAATGTTGGTTATTGGGCGGGGGAGGGGCAAATGCAGAATTGTACCATGGTTGCAGTTTCATTTTTGCAAGACAAAAAAGTTCTGGAGATTTGCCTCACAACAATATGAATATACTTAACACTATTGAATGGTATGCTTTAAAATGTTTAAGATGGTAAAAATTACAGTTTTTTCATAAATTAAAAATCTTTAAATACATACACAAACACAGTAGTCCCAAGGGGTTTTTGTTTGTTTGTTTTTTAATAAGGTTTATATTTCTTACAAAAAATATATTTTTCATAGCTTCATTATGTTTCAAACAATGTTTTTAAACAATACCCTGTCAAAGTTGCCAGTCTCTCTCTATACACCTCTGTATAGCTCTAAGTTATAGGAGTATATATCTTCCTATAAAATTTAAAATGCTAATTGAAAGCAAATATTGGGAAAAATATTTTTCTTTTCTTTTCAAATTGTTTGTTATATGTGAAAGAGTAAAATCATTTCTTGCCACAGTCCAAGATAAAATATTCCAGTAATTGGCTAAAAACAAACAAAAAAACTTTTAATTAATAATATGCTGGTTAAAAACACTATATATAAGCATGGTATGAATGAATTTTTAAAAATATGAGCTTGAAAACATTCATGATTCTATTATCAAACTCCCCTGGCTGAGGCAAGTATAAGAATGTCAGAAGTCATAGGAGACTGGGACAACAAGATTTTCAAATTGACAGAATAAAGAGAAAAGTTCCACTGGGATATGTTAAAGTTGTTCTGTAATCTTACTTATGAGGGAGTTAGCAGAAATTGTACTTAGTATTTAACTCATATATTAATTGTTTTTAACAGAACTACTGGGGCCCTTGGACAGAGGGGATATGCTAAATGAAGCTTTTGTTGGCCTGCCTTTAGCACCTCAAGTGGAAGACTCATTTCCAGATAACCTCCCTCCCTCTGGTTCATCTCACAGACATACTGTACGACAAAGAATACTGAATGGCTCTTCTAACAGGTAAGAAATGTTGAACTCAGGAAATCGCTCCATAAAGTATTTAGCATTGTCTGTTCAATTTTGAACTAATAGCAAAGCAAGAGTATTTCAAAATATCAAGGAGAAAGTGTGCATTTTCTCACGGCTCAGACTTTTCAGTAGTTTGGTTATTCAGAGCAATCATAATGAATGGCAAAAGTGACTATAAAAATAATATTGCTGCTATAAATGTTATTCTAGGCCAAAATGAAATTACTATGACATATTGAATTCTGTTTGTATTCTGTTGTTTAATTCTAGGATTGTTAGATTACCTTTAATAAATATTAATTTTTTAGAATATGTAGTTTGAATTATAATTTATATAATCATATTTCTTTAATGTAAGTTTACCATTGGTGTTTGAAATCTGATAGATGATAGCTTAAATATTTGTCCAGTTTGCTACATGGGTTACTGAGAAGATAATGAAGAAATATGAAATTTAAAAACTAGACAAAAGTAACATTATTTACAGTGATATTTATAATATTAATTATGATAATGATTCTCTCAAGCAAGGGTCAGAAAGCTTTTTGTGTAAAGGGCCAGACAGCAAAAATTTTAGGCTTTGCAGGCCACACAAACTCTTTTGCAACTACTCAATCCTGCTGTTACAGTAAGAAAAAGTGGCCACAGACAATATATAATGAATGAGAGTATCTGTGTTAGAATAAAACTTTATTTATAAAAATAGGCAGTGGGTCAGATTTGGTCCCTGGTTTATGGATAATATTCCTGCTTTTGAGGATCCTATTTTCAGTAATTGTAAAGAGGCCATATTAAAAAATTCAATATATAAATTATACATACCCACCTATAATACCTCAAGAAAAATTCCTCAAACTATACAGGTTAACAGCAAATAAAGAGAGGGAGGATTTCCAAGTAAGAAAGTGTTTATTTGGATGTCACGATTTCTGGGCTCTGGAAATCAAAGGCAAACAAATTGAGATGCATTTATCCATGCAAAATTGCTGCACTTCTAGTAATAAAGTAGAAGTCTCTTATTTTCTTGCCTGAAGCTGCTTCCATCCTCCTGCCCATCCTCAAACTAGTTCTACCAGGGTAGGACTGGCTTTGAAAACCAACAACTGACTTGATTTGGAGCTGAGGGTGGAAAAACTCTGCCTAGCAGGATTGTCAAATAAAAGTAGCAAACAATTGTGAGTAAAAGTGACAAACTTGATAGGAAATGAACAGAGAAAGCCAAAGCTCGGCTCGCTTGATTAGGGCAAGTGACAGAATGGCAAACCAGCCAAAAATTCAATAGAAAGATCCTGGGATGAGAAAAACAAAGAGGGGCTAATTAAGCTTTCCACAATCTTTTATTCTTTTCCTTTTTGAGACAGAGTTTCACTCTTGTTGCCCAGGCTGGAGTGCGATGGCTCGACCTCAGCTCACTACAACCTCCACCTCCCGGCTTCATGCAATTCTCCTGCTGGGATTACAGGTGCCCACCACCATGCCCAGCTAATTTTTTTTTTTTTTTGTATTTTTAGCAGAGATGGGGTTTCACCATGTTGACCAGGCTGGTCTTAAACTCCTGACCTCAGGTTATCCACCCGCCTTGGCCTCCCAAAGTGCTGGGATTACAGGTCCACAAATTATTGATGGGATTTTATGACCTCTCATTTTTTGGCTTTCTCTTGTCTGGTATTTTCCTCCTTATGCTTCTTCCTTCCTTCACACCCAAATGCCAAAAGTGCCCCTCTCTTTCTGCCTTCCCCCTGAGAAGCTATTCTTTTTGAAAACTGCCTCTTCAAATTGCATGGTACTTTATAGCATCTTCCTTATAGTCCATGCTCCAGTGTACCAGAGTATCAGGAGCTAGAGAGATCATGTACTGGCATTTGGTGGGTCTTTTTCCCATTTTATTTACAATTATTTTGAAGTTTGGACATTTTCTGTCTTTGAATCATACTAAGAACATGATTGTCATGCAGTTTCATTTTTCCTTTTATAATGTTCTCTATTGCTTATAAAAGAAGTATTGGGAAATAGAACATAGGCAACTGCTATTATCTTCAGCTACCTAGCAGTCTTACCTCTTTATTTTTTTATTTTTGGGGCAGGGTCTCACTCTGTCACCCAGTCTGGAGTGCAGTGTTAAGTCATGGCTTACTGAAGACTGGACCTCCCAGGCTCAGGTGATTTTCCCACCTCAGCCTCCCGAGAGCAACTGCAACTACAGGCACATGCTGCCATGCTGGGCTAATTTTTTTTTTTTTTTTNTTTTTTTTTTTTTTGAGACAGAGTTTCACTGTGTCCCTAGGCTGGAGTGCAGTGGTGCAATCTTGGTTCACTGCAGTCTCCAACTACCTGGTTCAAGCAATTTTTCTGCCTCAGCCTCCCGAGTAGCTGGGATTACAGGCATGTGCCACCACACCTAGCTAAATTTTTTTGTATTTTTAGCAGAGACAGGGTTTCACCATGTTGGCCAGGATGGGCTCGATCTCCTAACCTTGTGATCCGCTTGCCTCTGCCTCCCAAAGTCCTGGGATTACAGGTATGAGCCACTGGTGCCCAGCCTAATTTTTGTATGGGACAACCACACGCAGCTAATTTTTTGTATTTTCTTCTAGAGATGGGGTTTTGCCATGTTGCCCAGGCTGGTCTTGAATTTCTAGGCTCAAGTGATCCACCTGCCTTGGCCTCCCAAAGTGCTGGGATTATAGGTGTGAGCCACCACACTCAGCCTAACTCACTATGCTTACTATAGGATATATCAAGTAGGCAAAAAGTAACAAGAAATAATACCTAAACAACATAATAATGTAGATATTATGAATATTCATCAAATTCTATTCCTTGATAACAGATAATACATTTTCTTCATAAGAATTCATGGAATATTTACAAAAAACATGTGTTAGTTGCCAAAAGATATCATTAAATTTCACTAAATGTTAAAAACACTCTTCAATCACAATGCAATACAACCAGCAATGTTTAGCAAAAACCTACATGCCCTTCCTTGTATAAATTTTAAACTTTTTATTAAACAACTTTTGGATGAAAGAAGAAATACAACATCAGTGTAATTATACTTTCTTATAATTACTTCTAAGAAGTGGTTATAATAAAACACTACATATCAGAACCTATGGGATGTATTTAAATAATAATCAGAGGAAAACTGATACCACTAAGCAGTTTTACCAGAAAAAAAAAAAATAAAGGAACTAATTCTAACTCAAAAGCTTTAAAAAAACAAAAACAAAAAACAGGAAACTAAACCAAAATAAAGCACAAGGAAAGTAAAAATGCAGATAAAAGCAGAAATTAATGAGGCAGATCAGGGACTGGCAAACTTTTTCCTAAATGGTTTCAGAGTAAATATTTTAGGCTTATGGACCATATGTTCTCTGCTGCAACTATTCAACTCTGTTGTAGCACAAAAACAGTCATAGACAATACATAAATGAATGGATGTGGCTGTGGTCCAATAAAACTTTATTTACATGGAACTGGAGGACATTATGTTAAGTGAAATAAGCCAGGCATAGAATGACAAACTTCCCATATTCTCACTCATTTGTGGAGAGCTAAAAATTAAAACAATTGAACTCATAGAAATAGAAAGTATAATAATGGTTACCAGAGGCTGTGAAAGGTAATTGATGGTTGGGGGGGAGATGGTTAATGGGTACAAAAATACAGTTAGACAGAATGAGTGAGATCTAGTATTTGATTACAGTGGACAGTAATTTATTTTATAGTTTAATAAAAATAAATGAGTATAATTAGAATGTTTATAACACAAGGAAATGATATATCCTTGAGGTGATGGATACCTCATTTACCCAGATATGCTTATTACACATTGTATAAGTATATCAAAGTATCTCATGTACAGCCAGGCACTGTGGCTCAGGCCTATAATCCCAGCACTTAGGGAGGCTGAGGTAGGCGCATCACAAGGTCAGGGGTTTCAGACCAGCCTTGCCAACATGGTGAAACCCCATCTCTAATAAAAACACAAAAATTAGCCAGGAGTGGTGGCACGTGCCTGTAGTCCCACCTACTCGGGTGGCTGAGGCCGGAGAATCACTTGAATGTAGATGTCTATTAGGTCCGCTTGGTCCAGATCTGCATCCAGGTCCTGGATATCCTTGTTAATTTTCTGTCTCGTTGATCTAATATTGACAGTGGAGTGTTACAGTCTCCCACTATTATTGTGTTAGAGTCTAAGTACCTTTTAGGTCATTAAGAACTTGCTTTATGTATCTGGATGCTCCTGTATTGGGTGCGTATATATTTTGGTTCATTAGCTCTTCTTGTTGCATTGCTCCTTTTACCACTATGTAATGTCCTTCTTTGTCTTTTTTGATCTTTGTTGCTTTAAAGTCTATTTTATCAGAGATGAGAATTGCAACTCCTGCTTTTTATTTTTTTTTACTCTCCATTTGCTTTGCAAAACTTCCTGCATCCCTTTATTTTGAGCCTATATGTGTCCTTGCATGTGAGATGGGTTTCCTGAATACAGCACAATGATGGGTCTAGATTTTTTATCCAGTTCGCCAGTCTGTGTCTTTTGATTGGGGCATTTAGCCCATTTACATTTAAGGTTAATATTGTTATGTGTGAATTTAATCCTGCCATTTTGATGCTAGCTGGTTGTCTTACCCATTAGTTGACACAGTTTCTTCATTGTATTGATGCTTTTTACCATTTGGTACGTTTTTGGAACGGCCGGTACTGGTTGTTCCTTTCCATGTTTAGTGCTTCTTTCAGGAGCTCTTGAAAGGCAAGCCTGGTGGTGATGAAATGTCTGAGCAATTGCTTGTTTGTAAAGGATTTTATTTCTCCTTTGCTTATGAAGCTTAGTTTGGCTGGATATGAAATTCTAGGTTAAAAGTTCTTTTCTTTAAAGATATTGAATATTGGCCCCCACTCCCTTCTGGCATGTAGGGTTTCTACCAAGAGATCTGCTGTGATGAGCTTCCCTTTGTGGGAAGCCGACCTTTCTCTCTGGTTGT